CTGCTGGAGCCTAATAATTTTCTTTCTCCAAAGAGGAGCCTCATTAATGACATAAATGGAATGAAAAGCCTGCAAAACAGGACTTAAGCAGTTTCGCTATTGTCAGGGGGCCAGTTTATCATGTTTCATCAAGAAGCTCAACATTTAAACATGTTCCACTTGATGATTGTTTAATTGGCACAACTTACCAGGGCAGAGAGGGAAGGTTATTTACACATTTTTGGTTGAGAGCTAGCAAGGATTTGAAGATAGTTCTTTTTGGCTTCTTTGACTTGGAAGAAGTTACCTTTAAAGCATGGATCTACTCTTCTTGTCACAGGACAACAGGGAACTCTCCTTCTGCAGGTCAGACAATTCCCATTTTGCCGAGGATGGTCTATGTTAGGGCACTACATTTTTCCAAACCAAGGGGCTGCACTTGACCTTTGAGCAATGTGTTGGCACCTAAATAGCTGTCTAGTCCTGTTATCCAACTCCACTCAACTCCTCAAGGAAGGAGCCATGACTCAACAAAAGAACACATGCTTGACATGCTAACAGTCTCAGCTTCAACAAGTTGTATTTCCAGCACCATTTCTGGTCCCCAGAGCTAATCTCCCCAATACCAGCAGATCCTCCAGCTGTTCCCTGACAGAAATTATGCTTTTCCTATAAAATTATCAGTTCAGCAACCTTTCCATGGAATATAGAAAATTTTTCACTACAGTGTTGCAATCAGAACACTAGTCCAGACCCTTCATTGACCAACTGTTGATGTTGTTTTCCTCCTCTTCCTCCCGTTCTTCTATATCCATTTTAAACCCTTGCTACTTCTTTTATTTATGTACATTCTTATTGCTCTTTTTGTCTACGACTGTAAATTTAATACACTAAACTGAATAAATGTACCATATTTTCAGTGGAAAAGGCCCTGAAGACATGGCTCTGCCACTGTGCTTGGGATCTGGAAATGGTGGGGAGCTTTGATGATGGCTTTGTTGAGCTTGGCGCAAGGATGGACTTTGGCCGCTGACCATGTTATTTTTGTTTTAAACTGGCTATTGATGTTTTATATGCTTGTGTGCTGGTTGTTAACTTGCTTTATTAGATTGTTGGTTGAACTGTTGTGTTGCGAGCCACTCAGAGTCACTTAGGTGAGATGGGCAGCCAATCAAATCAAATCAAATCAATAAATAAATCAGGGAAAAAATATGATGGGGACATAGTTCTCTTTCTGCTTGACATTCTAGGAGAGCCACTGCCAGATAGAGCAGATAACACTGCATGTTAGACAAATCCTCTGATCAGCTATATCTTAAATCATCTAGGTACCATGCCCTGTGTCCACTCCCTTCTTCTTGTTCTCCATCTTTCCTTCAGCTTTCGGATGCTGCTGAGTTCCAGGAACATATGAAGCAAAAATAGAGGGGGTGCAGTTCATCTGCTGATGTGATAAAAATACTGCCACGTGAAAGAGCTGCCACAGAGAGGAGCAGGACAAGCTGCCTAGAGGCAGGGTCAGCACTGCTGGCAGTTTCCTGCCAACTCTTCTGCTGCACTCAGAGTGCTGAGCCAGGCTTGTGATCGCATCTGTCCTAGCAGAAAACTAATTAAGAGGAATGCCACGCATTCATGCTATTATTCCCCAGGGGGTGAAGAATCACTAACCATTCTGCTGAAAAGATTCCCCCCCCCCTGCAGAATTCCTACCACATCACCTTGGGAAAAGCATCTCATAAAGGCAAGCGGTGTTTACAACTTCTGTGAAATAGAAAGCAGCCTTGTTTTCCCATCAGATTACATTTCGATGTGAAGGATATTAGTCGAGCAAACCTCCAAAGGCACTCTTTCGCCAAAGACCTTTAGGATTAGCACTTATGCTATTTCCACAGCCTGAAAGTTCTATCTTTTTTTAAGATGATCCAATTTTGCTAATGCAAAAAAACAAAGACTAACCCCACATTTTTGTTGAAACAAGATCCTGCCTTCCTACTCAAGTTCATTGAGCCTAGTGTGAATTTTTTCCCATTTGCTTAAATGTTTGCACTGCTTTTTAGATTATTTCTAGAACATGATATATGTTGGACCGGTAGAAGCACCGTGGCACTGCTCTTTCTTCACTCCCAACTCTTGATGATGGCAGACCATGCCATGAAAACTCTCCATACCATGCTAAACCAAAGATCAGTTACAAATTCATCATAGAACTGGTATGGGGAACCAACCATCACAAGACCATAATGAATGTTTAAGATATGAATTCCATAGGGTCAGCCTAGGATTATTAGTGGAACAGACTCTCCTCTATTAGCCAACAATGAAAAATGGCAAAAATGGCAACATTTCAAAATAGCATATTTGTTGGTAACTGTAATGTTATTCAAGGTTTGAACATCTGCTTTGATTTGTCCCTCTATAGAGACACAGTCAAATTAGGAGAGCTCATCTTGAAGACTCATCCTCTCTCTTCAAGAGTTGTCTTTCCAACCAGATAGAGATGTGCAACCACATCCTCCAGATGTTCTTGAACAGCAGTTCTTATTATCCATCACCCCTGACCATGCTGGTTAAGGCTGATGGATACAGTTAGCCACATGCTAACCGTATCCACCCCTGTTTTAGAAGTTTCAGGACTTAAGTCCAATCCATCATGTATTAGGGATGTCAGGAGCTATTCTTGAAAATATCTGAAGGGATCTGCATTGCAGAAGTTCATCCTACACCTGCTCCTAGCCTAAAACCTCTGTTCGCCCTCCCCT